ATGATCGATTTTGCATTTCATAATGTCCTCTGTCTCTCATTTGGTCATAAATTCTTCCCTCCTCCATAGATCTGACACATAAACTATTCCTTGCTCTCCTAATTTGCTTATGGTATCGCCCTTTATGACTAAATCATGAACCCCTTTTGACTTTATTTTGGCATATGGTGTGAGATGTTGGTCCATGCCTAGTTTCTGCCGTACTCTTCTCCAGTTTTCCCAGCAGTTTTTTCAGATACTGAGTTCTTATCCCAGAAGCTGGGGCCTTTGGGTTTACCAAATAGTAGATGACTATAGTCATTGACTTCTGTGTCTTGTTCCAGGGGTGGGGAACTTATAGCCTCGAGGCCACATGTAGCCCTCAAGTGTGGCCCTTCGACTGAATTCAAATTTCGCTGAATAAATCCCCTTCACAAAAGGCTACAAGTGGGGGCAGCTAGGTGGTGCAGTGGATAAAGCACCAGCCCTGAAGTAAGGAGGACCTGAGTTCAAATCTGAACTCAGACCAAACACTTGACACTTACTAGCTGTGTGACCCTGGGCAAGTCACTTAACCCCAATTGCCTAAAAAAAAAAAAAAGGCTGCAGGTTGACCACCCATGAACCTGTTCCACTGATCCACCACTCTATTTTTTAGCCAGTACCAGATAGTTTTGATGATAAAATCTCATCTTCTCAAAGATGCCTTCACCGATCCCACTTAATGCTAATGCCTCCCCCTCTATGGAGTATTTCCTATTTATCCTGTATAAAACTTGTTTGTCCATAATTGTTCACATGTTCTCTCCCTGGAGGGCACATCCTGTCTTTTACCTTTCCTTGTATCCCTAGCACTTAGCTCAGAGCCTGGCACATAGTAGGTGCTTAAATAGTTGCTGACGATTGACATTATCCTTATTTTACAGAGAAGGAGACTAAGGCTCTGGGAGACTGACTCATCCAGAGTCACACAGAAAAGCAGAAATAGTCATTTAATATACTTCCTTTTTTTGACTGTGATGCAATAAAAGTTACACTCAGTAAAGGACCTTGGAAGCAGAGATTAAAAATTAATTGGAAACTAATTAACTTAATTTTGAAGAATGGATGGGTCAAGAAATAATCAACAATTTCATTAAAGATAATGACAACAATGAGACAATACACCAAAGCTGGTGGGATTCAGTCACTAAGCAGTACTTAAGGAAAAAAATGTAAATCTCTAAATGCTTCCATCAGTAAAAGACAGAGAGAGCCGATCGACATCTTGGGCATGCAACTAAAAAACTAGAAAATTGGCAAATTAAAACCTCCCAACTAAAGGCCAAAACAGAGATCCTGAAAGTCAAATGAGACATTAATAAAATTAAAAGTAAAACCCCATGGAACAAATAAATAAATAAATAAATAAATAAAAACGCTGGCTTTAAAAAAAAATGATACACAGACAAGCTACTGGCTATTTTGATTTTTTTGAAAAAAAGAAAGAAAAATACCAAGTTACCAGTCTCAAAAATGAAAAAAGTGAATTCACAACCAATAAGGGAAAACGAAAGAAATTATTAGGTGCTATTTTGCCCAAATGTATGCCAATAAAGTGAAATAAATTAATGAATATTTACAAAAATATTAATTGCTCAGATTAACAGAACAGAAAATACAATACTTAAATAATCCCATTGTAGACAAATTGAACAAGCCATAAATAAATTCCCAAAGAAAAAAACCCAGGACCAAATGGTTTTGCAAGTGCCGAACAGTTAAAGAACAATTAGTTCCAATACTATATAAACTGTGAAAAAATAGGCAAAGAGATATTCTACTAAATTCCTTCTGTGATAGAAATACAGTCTTGATACCCAAACTAGGAAAAATCAAACAGAAAGAAAACTATTGACCAATTTCCTTAATGAATACTGATGCAAAAAACATTTAAATAAATACTGGCAAGGAGATTACAGCAATATATCACAAAGATCACACACTTTGACCAGGCTTGGTTTATATAAGGGAAACAGAGCTGGTTTGATACTAAGAAAACCATAAGCATAATTGACCTCCTTAGCAACAAAAACACCAAAAGTCATGATTATTTCAATTGACAAAGAAAGAGCTTTTGAGAAAATATAATACAATACCTTTTCTTGTTAAACAAAAACAAAAACAAAAAAAAATGCAAACGCATAAGAGTAAATGAAGCTTTCCTTAAAATGAAATGTTTTGTTGTTCTTGATAGAAATACTGAAGTGATCTGCCATTTCCTTCTCCAGGCCATTTTACAGATGGAGAAACTGAGGCAAAAAGGGTGAAGTGAGTTAGCCAGGGTCACACAGCTAATAAGTGTCTGAGACCAGATTTGAACTCAGGGAGATGAGTCTTCCAGGCCTCATGCTCTGCACACTGTGGTGCCACCCAGCTGGCCCAGTCGTAGCCACTTAAACCCAAGCATTACTTGTAATGAGGATAAATAGTTTTTAATAAGACAAAGGTGAACAGCAAGAATGCCCATTATCACAAGTATTATTCAATATTGTACTAGAAATGCTAGCTATAGCAAATATGATAAGAAAAAGACATTGGCCTTGGAGGCAGGAGGACCTGAGTTCAAATCCAGCCTCAGACACTTGACCCTTACCAGCTGTGTGATCTTGGGCAAGTCACTTAACCCTGATTGCCTCACACACACCCCCCAAAAAAGGCAAAAAAAAAAAAGACATTGAAGAAACAAGCAAAGGCAAAGAAGAAACAAAACTATCACTTTTTGTAGATGGTTTATTTAAAGAATCCCAAAGAATCAACTAAAAAACTAGTTAAAACAATTAATAACTTCAGCAAAGTCGCGGGGTATAAAATATGCCCCCAGAAATAATCAGCACTTCTATACACTGCCAACAAAACCCAGCAGGAAGAGACAGAAAGAGAGATTCCATTTAAAATAACGACAGATAACATCAAATACTTGGACGTCTACCTGCCAAGACAAACCCAGGGATTACATGAACACAATAATAATTTTCACACAAATAAAGTCAGATCTAAACAATTAGAGAAATATTAATTGCTCATAAGTAGGCTGAGTCAATATAATAAAAATAACAATTATGCCAAAATGAATTTATTTATTCAGTGCCATACAAAATTGCAAAAAGAAAATTATAGAGCTAGAAAAAATAATAACAAAATTCATCTGGAGGAATAAAAGGTCAAGAATATCAAGGGAATTAATGGAAAAAATATGAAGGAAGATGGCCTAGCCATAACAGAGTTCAAACAGTATTATAAAGCAGTAATCATCAAAACAATCTGGTACTGGCCAAGAAATAGAGTGGCAGATTAGTGAAAGAGATTAGGTACATAATACACAGCAGTAAATGATTGTAGTAATCTAATGTCTGACAAACCCAAAGATCCAAGCTTTTGAGACAAGAACTCACTATTTGACAAAAACTGCTGGAAAAACCAGAAAGCAGTCTGGCAGAAACTAATTATAAACCAACATCTCACACCACATACAAAGATAAAGTCAAAATTGGCAGCTGATTTAGACATACAGGGTGACATCATAGGTAAATTGGTAGAGCACAGAAGAAATTACCTGTCAAATCCATGGATAGGTAAAGAGTTCATAACCAAACAAGGGATAGAGAGACTTCCGGTTCCTATTACACAAAATTTAAGTTTTTGCACAAACAAAACTGCTGCAGCTACAACTTGAAGAAAAACAGGAAACAGGAGGTGGAAATCATTGTAGCAAGTTTCTCTAATAAAGATCTAATTTCTAACATATACAGGGAACTGAGTCAAATTTATAAGAATATGAGCCATTTCCCAAATGAAAAATGGTCAAAGGATAAGAATAGACAGTTTTCAGAGGAAGAAATCTATCAATAACCATATAAAATGCTCTAAACTACTAATAGAGAAATGTAAATTAAAACAACTTTGAGTTTAAAAATTTCAAATTAAATTAAAACAACCTTACACCCATCAGGTCAGCTAAGATAACAGGAAAAAAAAATACAAATGCTGGAGGGGATGTGGAAAAATAGGGACACTAAATAGGGACACTGTTGGTAGAGCTGTGAGCTGGTCCAACCATTCTGGAGAACAATTTGGAACTGCGTCCAAAGGGCTATAAAACCCTTTGGCCTAGCAATACTACTATTGCTGCTATCTATACTAGTATCGGTACTAGATCTACACTCCAAAGAGATCAAAGGAAAAGAAAAGGATCCATCTGTAAAAATATATATCTTGGGGAAGCTAGGTGGTAGAGTGAATAGAGCACTGGCACTGGAGTCAGGAAGACCTGAGTTTGATTCTGGCCTGAGACACTTGACACTCACTAGCTGTGTGACCCTGGGCAAGTCACTTAAGCTCAATTGCCTCACAAAACCAAAACAAATGTATATATACACATATGTATAGATAGACACTAACATATTTTATATATATGTATATATATATATATATATTATAAATATATGTGCATATATTTTAGATAGATAGATAGATAGATAGATAGATAGATAGATAGATAGATAGATAGATAGACAAATATGTCTTTATGACAGCTTTTTGTTGCAGCAAAGAATTGGAAACTGATGGGATGCCCATCAACTGGGAATGGCTGAACAAGTTGTAATGTGTGATTGTGATGGTAGACTATTGTGCTATAAGAAATGATGGGATTTCAGAGAAAAAAAAAACCTGGGAAGATTTGTATGAGCTGACGCCAAGTGAAGGGAGCAGAACCAGGAAAACATTGTATATAGTAACAGCAACATTGTTAACAATGCTCCACCTTGAAAGACTTGGCTCTTGTCATCAACCCAAGGATCCACCATAATTCCAAAGACCTCATGATGGAACATGCCATCTGACTACCTCCCAATAAAGAGCTGGTGGACAGGACAGATTAAAGAATATTTTCTTCTTCCTTTCTTTTTCTTTCTTTCCTTCTTTCCTTTCTTTTCTTCCTTTTTCTTTCTTCCTTCCTTTCTCTTTTTCTTTCTTTTTCCTTATTTGGACACAGCTAATATAGGAGTTTGCAAATGATTATGCATATTTGTAATGGGTTTTGTTTTTCTTGCCTTCTCAATGAGGGAGGGAGGAGGAAGGCGAGATTAGAACTGAAAATAAGATAAAACTGAATGTTTTAAAAGTGCATTTGACAGAGAGGACAGGGCTCACTGTCTTGTCAGTCTGGTAGGACATGGAGGGATGATTTGTTTATTTTTATCTTTCATTAGCAGGGCTTCCCTGCCTCAGTCTCATGGTCCACCCTCCCATGTAACAATGATAGTTACAGTACCAACAGCTACCAACTCCACTGAGGAAGGGAATGTGTCTCCTCTGGAAATAGCCATCGTCATTGCGCTGCTGTGCCTGTGTGGCCTGGTAGGGAATGGGACCGTCATCTGGCTTCTCAGGTTCGGCATAAAGAAGAACCCCTACTCTGTTTACATTTTCAACTTGGCCATCGCTGACTTCTTCTTCCTCCTCTGCATGTTTCTCTCAAGCGTTCTTAACAGGCCTGAATTCGGTCCCTGGTCCTGGCACATTTCTGAGGTCTTTAGGAGAACAAGGTGCCTCGCTTACGTCCTGGGACTGAGCCTGCTGGCCGCCATCGGCACACAGCGATGCCTCTCTGTCCTCTTCCCCAACTGGTACCGATGTCACCGTCCCAGGAATCTGTCTTCCCTGGTGTGTGCAGTACTGTGGGTTCTGGCCATCCTGGAGAGTCTGGCAGCTATTTATTTCTGTGTTGTGCAAAAGGAAAATAAGAATTCGTGTCGAAAAGTAGACTTGTTTTTTATGGTTTTGATTTTTGGCATCTTCACCCCAGCGATGTGTGTATCCGGCTTGACCCTGTTCATTAAAGCCCGGAGGATCTCCCTAAAGCACCAGCCAGCAAGGCTCTACATTATCATCCTGGTCACCATCTTGGTGTTTCTCATCTGTGCCCTGCCCCTCTCAGTCCATTGGTTTATTATTTACTGGCTCTGCTTGAGGGAGAGACCGAACGTTATTTTCTATGGTGTGGCTAAAATATTCTCTTGTGTGAACAGCACGGCCAACCCCATCATCTACTTCATGGTTGGGAGTCAGAGGAAGAAAAGATTTCATGAGCCCCTCAGGGTCACACTAGAGAGGGCTCTCTGGGATGAAAAGCTGGGATTGGATAGTCGTGGGGCTCAGGACGGAGGTGAGGATAATACAAATGAGGAGCTCCCGAGGGTAACCACCAAATGTAGAGACCCCCAACCTGTTTGACAGCCCCAGCCTGCGCCCACCTGATCCCACTGATGTTTCCCTGGCCCTCGATTTGCTTGCCCCAACTCTTCATCTGAGGCTTTCCTGGATGCCAGGAGTACCGAGCTACCAAGAGTGTACTGACCCAGATGCCAAGATGCCTCATCCTGCAAAATGGAATACGTCACCCACCGGCTGTGCTAGTGCATTTCAGAAGCGAATCTGATGGTGGGGAAACATGACTAACTTGTAGCTTTAATTGGAGACCACTCTCCCCAAGGGCTGAAGGGGCATAGGGGAGAGTGTGCCCCAGGGCATTGTGGGGGAAATATTTGCACTTCTGTTATTGCTTTATATTCTCAGTAAATATCTCTTTGTAAAAGCTAATTGATATTAATTGGTTAAAAGACAACAGGCACTAAGCATGGGCAGCTGATATTGAGGGGAACACAAGATGAGGGGCTTGAGCCCCTGGTAGAGGGGTCTCTGGTACCGTTTGATGGAGATGTAGCCTTGCCTGGGGACCTCAGAGGACGTTCCTGTGGTTGGCCTCAGCCCCTGTCTCTTGCTTTGAGCTAATCATGTCTTGCTCCCATCAGAAGGGTTCATTATCTCTTGCATATCTTTCTAGCGAATTCTAATCTGAATAACTTCTCCCATTTGTGTTTGCTGATTTGCTTCAATAAACAGGTTCACTCACTAGCCACCCTTTGTGATGACCTTTTGTGTAACCAGCACTTGATGGGAAGGGCCTGAACCAACAGATGTAAGCCAAGGGCTGATTTTGCTCAAAGCCTCTTGAACCCCAAGACTGGTAATATTTAGAGTGAGTGGGTTTTATTCTCTATTACCCCACACTCCTTTGAGAGACTGGAGTGCTCAGCCTCATGGCCTGTCTCGTTAGAGGCAGCTTGTAGTATGTAGAGAGAGGACCAAGCCGGGAGTCAGGAAGATCTGAGTTCAAATCTGGCCTCAGACCTTCACTAGCTGGGTGACCCTGGCCGAGTCACTTAATTTCTGTCTACCTCAGTTTCCTCATCTGTAAAATGGGGCTCATAATACCTACCTCCCAGGGTTGTTGTGAGAATGAAGTAGCAGGTGTAAAGTGCTTAGCACAGTACCTCATCCATAGAAAGCACTATATAAACCTATTACTACTACTACTGCTACTGCTACTGCTACTACTACTATTCCCTCTCATCTTTTCATTATCAGAATAAAACATGTTCATTTCCAAGAGTCTACAACTTTGGCATTTATCTCCAACTTCTGCTCCCCACACCAGCAGGATGAAAGTGTGATTCAAATGACTTACTACCTGCTGAACAAAACACACAAGAGGAAGAGAAATCCCCTGATAACCAGAGATTCTTCCCCAGTGGCCTTTCACATCGTGTACGGAAATGACTTTGGACTCTGGTGGGCTATGCCTGAGCGACACGAACTCCCACCACACTAGATAAGTTCCACATGTGTCCCCAGGAGTGGACTCTACATCTCTTGTCCAAGGACGGGCGGAGCCAACATCTGAAAAGCATCGTTATTATGGCCTTGGAGAGGGGGAGGGGTGAGGGGATGGATTTTTCAGCCACAGAAAGTCTCCAAGACTGCTTACTGGGTCATAGAGGGGGAAGTGTGAGCTATAGCGCACAGGAAAGAAGCAGTCCCCTTCCACTGTGGGTGTTAGTCCCAAAGCATCTTCATCACGCCTCCTCACTTTGGTTCCTGGATTTCCTCCTAATGTAGACCTAGGGCTACTACCATCACGCTCTCACATACCATTTTTCTTTGGAGAAAAGCACACCCATCCAGCACCATCGAGGCATGTGCCCCTTCCCCCCAGATCTCAGGGACCCCCAAGATGTGAAAGCTCAAAGATGGTCCCCCAGAGTCCTAAGTGCAGTAAAAAGAGACTCACTCTAAAGTCATCAGAACAGGATTTCTTTTTTTAAATCCACCTTTGGGGTGGATTTTCTGCATGACCTTGGCAAGTCCCTCAGTACCTGTGTCTCCATTCCTCATCTGTAAAATGAGGGAGAAGAACCACGTGGCTTTGGAGGTCCGGATTAGCTCTAAATCTTTGATCGGACCAGCCTCACGAATTTCGGACAACTACGTGTGCCAGGCTGCAGATGCTAAGTGGGAGAAAGGAAGAAATGAGGGGCAGTCAGGCCCTCAATAAGCATTTATTAGGCACCTACTATGTGCCAGGCACTGTGCTAAGCACTTCATTTGATCCTCACAACAGCCCTGGAGGCAGGTGTTATTATCATCCCCATTTTACAGAGGAGGAAACCAAGGCAACCAAAGGTAAGTGATTTGTCCAGGGTCACATAGCTAGGAAGGTGTGAGGCTGGATTTGAACTTGGGTCTTCCTGCCTCCATCTCCTTTGGATTCTCAAAACCCTTGAGTTCCCTCCATGACCCTGGAGCACCTCTAAGGTGTAAACTCTCTTTCTCAGCCCCTGAGGCCGAGGCTCCTGGCCCGTCAGCACTGCCCCAGCCTCTTTCTGAGCTCTTACCAGCTCTTACCGGGCGTGGCTGCCCTGTCCTGGGCAGTGGGCTCTGCCCATCCTGCAGAGTTTGGGAGGTGCCCAGGTCTGCTCTGGGCTGCAGGGCAGTGCGGATTGCTGCTCACAGTGGACTTCTTCTCCATGGTGATGGATTTCCCAGGCCTCACCCCAAAGTGGGTGAGTCCAGGGTGACTCAGTTCCACACCAGGAGCTTCTGAGCATCCCTCAGGCCAGTGCCCTGGGCATGCCTCCTCTGGGCCCTGTTCGTTTTCTGAATGACAGCTCTCAGGTGGGAGTCAGGGGAAGGAGAGGTTGTAGAAGCCTCTTAGGATGGCACCACCAGGGGAGACAGGCCCCAGAGATACAGGGCCTCTGTCTGAGGGGTGAGGGCAGGGGGCGCAGGACAGAGGGAGGGCATAGCTGAGGAGCTGCGTTCCACAGGGCCTCTCTTCTCCCTTATCAGATGATGAGTCAGTCAACAAACATTTAGAGAGAGAAGACCGAGTCCAGGACCAGAGCTGAGTATGGGGCAGGGTGCAGTTCAGCCGTACTAAGAGGGCCCCTTTTAATGTAAAATGCAGATGTACACACACTCACACACACAGTCACACTGTTACCATTGATTGGGGAAACAGGGGATGACAGAAAGCTAGCGCGTTTGGGGGTGAATAAAGGTTAAACCTGAAAATCCCCAATTTTCTCTCCTATTTCATATTTCTGCTCTTCCCTATCACCCTGCTTCCTGGGCCACCTTCCCTCTCCCACTGACACACCTTTGCCCAGGCGGTCCCCAGGTCTGAAACACCCTCTCTCCTCACTTCTGCCTCTTGGCATCTGTAGCCTCCTTCAAAGCCTGGCCCAGGGCCACCTCCTTTTCCTGATCCCCACTTTGCATCAATGTAGGACTTAGTGACTTACGGGGCTTACCTTTCCAGACATAACCCAACACACAAAGCCGGGCATGAGGACCTGCTAGAAAGAGGAGGCTATGCTGGCACTAGAGGCCAGGAGGCCAGGAGGCCAGGGAGGCGGGGTGACCGCAGAGAAGGCGGACATCTGAACTTGCACTTGGAGTGGATTAGGGAACCCCATAGGGAGGAGGGTGTGGAAAGCCCCCGACTTGTCGGGGCTCGGCCACTCAGGGACGGGTAGAGGAGTCAGGGCCAGGCTGAGGAGCCTCTGGGTCCAGGCGTAGGTGCCTGTAGGGAAGAGGAGCGCCTGAGAGGGAGGAAGCAGGAAGGGGAGCCGCAGTAGGCTGGGAGGAGCCCTCCTGCTGGCTCCCCAGGCCTGCCTTGCGGCTCAGACCCTGCCCTTGGTGAGGCACGTTCTGCCAGATGTGGGGACCTGTTTGGGAAGGGGCCAGGCGCTCACAGCCTCCATTCGTACCAGAATCCTAGCGGGGGTTCATTTGGCTGAGTTCCCTTTTCCCATATCTCCAGGGCTTAACAACTCATATATATAGGAAGAGACAGAGATACCGGATTAACTACACACACACACACACACACACACAACACACACACACACACACACACACACATATTTCCACAAACTGCCTGCCCTCGCTCTGTTCCTTATCCCCTCCAAACCTTCTGCGACCCTGCCTCCACCTGCCCCTCCCCATTTCAAGGGTCACTGTGGCAGCATCCACCAGGCACAGACCAGCCTAGTCTGGGGTCTCCCCCCAGTTCCCCGGCTTTCCCCACATCACAGTGCAGAGCACACACAGAGCCCGGCTTCAAGAACCACTTATTGACTGACTCTGTTCTGTCCAGAGAAACATACATGTGAGGGAAACGCACTCCACTGATTGCCCACCACCTCAGAAGCTCAGAGCTCCAAGGTGAGTTTGGGGATGAGGGGGTTGACCTCTGGTCCTCACTTAAGGCGGGCTCAGAATCAGAGTTGGAAGGAACCCTCACCCCACAGCCCACCGCAGCTCATGTCGGGCGGGACTTTGGAAATCCTTCCATTTACAGGGGTGGGAAGTCTGAGGCAGGAAATGATTAGTCTAAGGTCGCGTGGCTAACTCACGCCAAAGCCAGACTCTGAACCAGGTTGGACTCTGAGTGCAGTGCAGTGGGCAACTTCCCCCTTCACCCCATCTTCTCATTCCCATATTCAGAAACCTCCTCTACTGAGTTCCTGACCCATGGTCTCAATAAAGCATCCTGCGGAAGTGCCTTGAAAGCTCTCTAACCCTGGCCACGCTCCTCCTCTGGCCCTCAATCGCTTGACTGAGTATGTGATATATAAAGATCCTTCGAAGTCTGTGATCCTAGCACCTCCAGGCATGGGGAGCTTTCTACCTATTATTTTCTTCCATGGGGAAGGGAGGGAAGATGTTAGTATTTGGGACACAGTCCTAGGGAGCTCACAGCAGCCCCGGGGCTGGTTCTTGGCTCTCGGAGGCTTTCCAAAGAGGCTGTTTCAATCCCAAATAAGGCCAGAGTTCTGTCCCTGCTCTTGGTCAATAACACAATTCCTTTTAAGTGCCCAAGCAGAATTCCATCTATAACTTGGGAATTCCAATTATAACTTTGGCAATGTTGGCCTGGTTCAGATCCAATTCCATAAACATGCATACAAAGGAAAAATAAACAAATGGGGCAAGGGTCAGGGGAGACGGGCCTCTGGGCAGCTCTGGCTGCTCTCTGCTTCTCTCCCCCAGAACCAAACACTCACCAGGCCCGGCCCGGGGCAGCAACTTTTCCCAGGCTGGCTCTGCCAAAAGGCGTGTTTACCCTTCCAGCTCCCACCAGCTAATTCCCCGGACCACGACCAGGCCCGTGACTAAGGCAACAACGACAGTTATCTGGAAAACAAAACAAAAAGAGACCCTTGCCGAACGAACCCCTTCCACAAGGTGGGCACCTGCCCCTCGACTTGACGTGACTTAAGAGGAGAAGCTTGGGCTCCACTTTAAGAAACCTGGACAAATATGAAAATCGAAAAATCCAAAGAAATGCATGGATTACATGGAAGTAAATAGCTTAATGGAGGCAGCTGGGTGGCTCAGTGGATAGCATATCAGACCTGGAGTCGGGAGGACCCGAGTTCAAATCTGGCCTCCGACAGTTGACACTTCCTAGCTGTGTGACCCTGAGCAAGTCACTTAACTGTGTTTGCCTCAGTT